AATCTTATCCATAACTTTATATTTTGTATTAATGTCACTGGGAATATTTTCATTTTTTGATTTTTCACAATTAAATGTGTGTTTTATTCTGTACATGGGCACTATTTTATCTACAGACACGGCTTATAACCAAGTGAGGAATTCATTCTATAAACCTTAATGATATGCTTCAAAAACTGCATAGAATTGAAAGCAATCAACCTAATTAGAAAAAAACAAGAATATAACTCTGAATCTAATTCTATGTCAACATGTGCCCTGCAGCAAAAGCCTGCAAACTGTTACGTATTAGTTGGCTGGCTGCCTTCATCTGCTGTTGAATAAAAAAATTATTAAAAAAAAGGTTGGTAAAAGAATTGGCAGTCCTTTGAGGTGCATTCAAACCATAGTCCCTGCATATTACTAAGGAAATTCCTAACTAAAAGTGTGAGATTAAATGGCGTCCTTCAAGCCCAGCTGGATTTCTTGTCATTGCAAAGTGACAGGAGAGTGGGTGATTAGGCAGGGGGTAAGAGGCTGGTAATTTAGAAGATGAGAAAGAGGAGGCTAAATTCTGATTTAATCCCATCTCAAGCAGTTAGATATACTCCTAAGGTTTTTCCATTCAAAGCTGAGGTGATTGTAATTAATGGAGCAAATATCAATAAGAATTAGCTTGGTCATTTTGTTAATATATTTAAATTACTTAGATCCCACCACATTGTTATGGCAAGTTAGTTGACGCAGTCAATATCTTATTAGTTTATATCAGACTAAAACTGTCAAATGGTACGTTTTCCAGCAAAATATTTCTTTAGGTGACTACTGATGTGTAGTGCTGCTTTTCTTCCATGAGAAACACATCAAAGTGGCAATTTTGTACAGCTCATTGCTTTTAATAGAGTGCAATAAAATACATCCTTTCTAGTGTAATTAATGAGGAGATTACAGAGGCGAAAAATCTTTTCCTGGAGGGTATGTATCATGAGCATTGCAGTTTCTTAAAATTTGTGTATTAATTTCTCTGAAATCTTTTTTTCAAACATCAGACACAAAACTTAAGATGTATCTTATAAGAAGTGAATTATACCATTAAAATTATTACTAATTCAATGTATGTCATTGCATTCTACAGTTTAAGTTAAACTTGCAATTGGAGCATATATTTTAAACTACATCACAGAACAGCCCCTAACACTGACATTTATTTATTTTTGTAATGACGACCAACAGACAACTCAATCAATAGGTCTTTTAAATTCACCTCTTCTCTCCCACACTCCTCTTTCTCAAATCATTTTCCTCACTCATTGGTTTCTTATTTTCTAATCAATTTCAGCATTGCACAAAGCCCTCGGATTAATGTGCAGAAATTAATAAATAAGAAGGCACATTCAGAGTGACTGCTAATGCATAAGGAGAGAGGATTCTCACAACCTGCTGCCCCTGCTATATAAACATGCCTTATCAACATTTTCTTAGTGTAACATGTTAATGATGTGCCACTTATTTTATCTACACGGCTACATGTGCATTTGCTGTAAGTTGCATGATCTCTCTGTCTTTTCATACATATGCAGAAGAACGTTTTCTTTCCTTTGAAGTTCTTGTGTTTGAGCTACAGCATGTTATCAGTAAATTGTTCATTTGAAACCTTGTCCCTCAAAGAGAACATGTACATTTTGCTCTCCATTTGCTCCCTTTGGGGGAAAAAAAATTATTAGAAATGGACAACACATATAACAATGAGGCAGAAGACACACAAGTCTATCTATTATTGAATTGCGGTCAACATAGACTAAACGCCCTTTTATAGATAGTTTGGGATAATGTGCAGCCGGCACTAAAGATTCTACCTCCGCTTTGGCAGCAATAAAAGTTTTAGCTCTTTAAATGTAATTCAAAGAGCTAAAACTTTAGGAAAGTGATAGGAAAGTGATCCTGTCCAAACCTTTCTCACATACCAATGACTGTAAAGATGAAGCTCTTTCTTTGTTCTAAAACTATGAACAGGTTATCATTGCCTTGATTTTATCCCACAAATGAATGCAATAGTTTTTATTTTTGCATTGGAGCATCGTGAATTGGTACTTGATTTTTCATAGCAAATGTACATTTCAGAATTAAAATATAAATATAATTTCTTGTCTTTAAATCTCTGAATTGGTTAGGACCACCAAGGTTCTCTGAACAACTGCTTCTTGTCATTATGGGGACAGGTTAAAAGTGATTTACTGTAACAGTGTGAAAAAAGCTGAATGGCAGCCCCCTTACCTCAAACTCCCAGCAAAATCGCCTCAAACTTCCAGCCACTGGAGTGACCCATGCTTGCATATTTTTTTACTCTGACTCCACTCTTTCACTGAATTACAGAGTCTGACCAGGAGATAACACTTCTCTTTAGATGTTAATGTCCACAAATCATGACAGAAAGAATATTTTAGTGCAAATATTGATGTTTAAAAAGGAATTGACGGGGAACCAGCCAAGGGCTCATCAAGGAAAGTGGGGACATTTTGAATGGCTAATACTGTAATATACTTTGTAAACTGGCAGTTATTTGGTCAACTTATAATTATTGTAAGTCACAGGGTTTTTTTCCCCCCAGGACTTTTAAAAAGTCTTGCTTATAGTACTATTTGTTTTATTGTAATATACTAGAGGTGCAGAATGTCTCTTTGTCTTCTAGTAAGAAATGTCTTAACTATATTTTGTTAAGTAACTTAATCATTTTGCAGAGCTTACAGAACAATGTGTTGGACTGCACTATAAGCAATGCACACTTTTTTAAATGAACAATTTAGCACTGCAACATACTGATCAATAAGTAATAAAATCCTGGCCGGTAATTTAATAATGAAAAACTGCTTTGAATTGACGTATCCTTAAAGAAACACTCTCTCATTCATTACAGTAGAAGAAGGAGATCTCTTCTTCTATCATTGTTTCATGTATTTTCAAGCCAGGTGGAAAAAAATCCCAAAAATAAGTATAATTCATAGGATTGGCAATTGAGCATTTGCTCATCCGTGTAAACACATTTGTCCATTTATGACATCTTTATTTGTATAAATATCCTGTGTGATTCTTTTTTAGTTAAGCCGTGAATAATTTGCATCAAAAAGATTTAATACACTTAAGGCTGCAGGGAAAACAAATGTTGGCATTTAGGCATTGGGTAAAAAGATGTAAAAGCATTAGAAAAAGACGAACATCACAGCTGCTTTGGGTCCTACGGAAAAAGCCTTTATGGTGCAACATTTGTACTATACATGACGTCTCAAAGTGTGGTCAGTTAAATTATGCTACACACATCAAGAAACGTTTTGTGCTTATCTCTTCTGGTTTCAAGACATTTGATGTGGAACAAGGAATAACTAGATAGAGTTCAATTCTGGTGTTCCAATCCCTTCCATGTCCACAAATAAAACACCTCGACATGAATAGTAGTTCTGTAACCCTTAATATAAAAACAATGACAGGGGTTTCCATCAAATTTATCAGCTGTTCAATAAATTCAAGTCTTGTAGGGTGATAAGACGGCCCCTTTGCATTGCGCCCATTCATGAAATGTTCTATAAACATACAAGAACTAGTGCACATTCATTGGTAGTTTAACAAAGTGGAAGCATTAGGAAACAATAGCATTTCAGGCACAGAGTGGTAGACCAATCAGACATGCAGTGTTGATCCACTTTTTGACTGTGCAGCTAGAGCAGCAAAGATACTTCAGCCGCGCGTCAGAACTAAACTTGTACAAGTTTAAATGAAGCAGCAAGCGCATTTTTGCTGCCTTAGCTGCGTGCGGTCTGAACATAGCCTTATGTGACTGAGCACAACATGCAAAAGAACAGGTAAATTATCAGACGTGAAAAGCAATCTAACACTGATGTGGAGGAGACAAAGCTTACTTACAGTATCTGTGTTGAAAGTTGATGAAATATCCTGGGTATGGAGCTTATCAAGATAACAATACTTGCAATACTGTTTTTTAGCCATGTCAAAGTTTGAGGCCTGTGTTATGCTGTGAGGTTGTTCTTCATGGATTGGGATAAGCCCCTAAATTCCAGTGAGTTCCCCACAAACACTAGAACTCATTTAGACATTGATTTTTAGGCTAAATCTGGTCAGTCCGTAAAAGTCTTGATTTAGTCCAAATAAAAATTGGGCTATGGTTGGTTGGTCTGATTTTGTCCCATTTTAGTCCAATAACAGACATTAAAAAGACGTTGCAAACTGGTCTTTTTAACAATCTGAAAATTACGGATTTTCACCTTTTACTTTTCAACCAAATGCAGATGTTGTTTGGATGTAAATCATGGCAACTTTTCAACCAATCTTTTGCTCTGTGGGCATTGTTTGTTCAGCATGCAATGACCTATTTGAACATTTGTTGGTTCCCTCTACATGGGTGGAAGTTTGTGAATGGTACCTTTCATAGACTCACAGACTGCACTCTTGGGGTGCTAAAGCAGTAAGATTACTGATGAGCAAGCCTAGATTTGAGAAACTGTTTCAGCTTCAACAAAGCCCTAACCTCATATAGAAAGAGCAGCTTTAGAATGGATCAAAGAGGACTAAAACAAGACTTTTTTGTCCAAAGGCTTGGTCGTGAGGCTTGAAAGGCTTGCCTATAAAGGTGAGAGCCTCAATTCTTTTAGCAAATAATGCATGAGTAATTTTAATAATTTTACATCCTGCGCAGACAGTGGTTTAGAAATTTTTTTCTTGTTCATGGTGAGAGGTTTCATTTCAGGTTAATTAAAACCTCTATTTTGTTCCTACAGTGCATTGAAATTTCATGAAAACACCCTGAGTCAAAGAATCCAGCTATTACGATTGTCATGATCTCCTTCTTAATTAGATTAAGTCTAAATTTAATCAGATTTGACTATCACCTTTGGACAACCAAGCAAGTGTGCCTATATTTATAACTCAGATAACACCATGCATAATTTAAATGCCATTTACATCTATCCAAAAAAGAAAAAGTTGAAAAAGTTGTCTTGATTCTGACTTACAATGTGGAGTTTCAAGAAGTCTCCAAGTCCAGAGGAGCTATCCACTCTCACCAAGACAGCATCCTTCAGGTGTGTACTGAACCCAATGGCAAGTCGATCCGCCCTTGTGCTGGGTCTGTCATTTGGTGGCCACGTGTAGGTGATCAGTCCACCATCTCGGCCAAATATGTATGTTGTTCCCGCTACAAGATAAAAGAGGGGAAAAAAGAGGCAAACTTTTCAATAACTACAACAACAAGAGTAAACCCAGCAGGCATCCCCGGCTGTAAACACAAAACCATTATTAACATAGCAAAGCTGGCCTCAGCTCCATGTGCACAGAGAACCGTCAGTCTAAGTGTTTTATTGTGCTGAGTAATGACTTTCCGAGCAGCGAGCAACATATCACTCTTGAACCGCTCTCAGCTCCATCTGAGAGTTTAAGTACACTCATGTCAATTCATGAATGGAAGAAAATCCAGCAAAGAGTGCGAAAGGCAGGCAGAGGTGCCGCTTACCTGGTAATACCTGGCAATTACTCAGCTTTACTGCCTTTGCTTATTCACCTTTGGACTGATGAGACACAAGCAAGCACTTGCAAATTTTTAGTTATGTCCCAAGTGTCCAACAGATCGGCATACCAAATGGCAACCTCCTCCTCTCTTGTGCTTCATTAGTAGAATCAAAGAACACAGAAACATTATTGACTGAGAGGGCCAATTATGCCTTGCTTGTACCCTCCACACCAGCTATTTTCTGTCTCCCTGAATCATGTCAATGTCCTAAGCTACTCTATGAAAGGTTAAAACATGACCTGTTAGACTTAACAGTAGTTCTAATAGCCAAGCTATTTAGTGGAAAAGAGTCTCGGAAGAAAATGAAACTGACCTACTCAAAAAATGCGGAAAAAAATAAATAAATAAACCTACTAAATTAATCCTTTAAAGCAGTGTAATAGTTTCTGTTTTAGGGTCATGATTCTATTTTTATAATTTTTTTGCTTTGTGGCTGTGAGACAAAGTGTGTCTATGTGCAAAAATGACAATGAAAATATGTGAGATTGGCAAATAAACACCTTTGAGAAAGACTGAAAATGAATGCATCTGTCAGTTTAGCATAAAAACAGCTATCTTCATGACAAATTAGATAAGGGGTTCTGCTTGTGTGCTGTATGTGTACATACAGTATGTGCTACAGACAGAGACAGGGAGAAAGAAGTGGGAGAGAATTAGATTGAGTTAATATCCATTGAGGCAGGGAGTTAAAGAGCCTTTGCCGGAACAATAGATTATAAATCATTGTGATTGTAATTTCAATATTTTCTTGTAAACTTGTTCACAAGGATATCAAATTATCAATGCAATAGATTTATTTGCTTCTGCTTGTCTTTCCAAGACTTTCTATAGTGGACCATTCTGCTTTTGAGTTTTTTTACTCAAATATTAGGTCACTCCTATTTGATTAAACAGACATTGTCACCCATTAGTTACAAAGAACTGCATCATTGATTAACAATAATGAAATCACAAAATGGAGTTGAGATGTTCAGATCTGTGACAGGATTTTGTCTATTTCCTAAAGCAAACACCTAAATCCTAAAATCCCATTGATGATGATACGGTAAGCACTTTTGCTCTCCTAATATATCTAGCTCTGTGAAGCTTGATAAAAACAGTGGAAAACAACATTATGCTTGATTTATTTGCAAGGCAGGGATAATTTCTTTTTCATGAAGTCTGGCAGCTACAGCTGAAAACTCTTGTTTCTCTAATGCCTATCTGATGTTGGCTCAATCCGAGAGTGATCTCGAATTCATGCAGCCAGCACTGAACTGTTGTCACCGTCTCTTAAGCCATCTAACACTTGCTTTGTGCTCTGGCTCATTATAATTAAGTTATTTCGGACTAGGTAAGTGTTGGAAATCACTGCATTCTTTAGCATCTATTTCCTGCTGCGTCTATGGGAAGGCTTTGACATCCACTTTATCCCTATGACATCCTATTAGTTGACGTTATAAAATAGTGATTGCCTACAGTATTCCAATGGACCTTAAGTGTAGATCATTATACTAAATAGGTTAATAGCAAGAGGCTCATCTTAAGACACAGACACCTATTACCCTAACCCCTAACTGGAGGGAAACTAACTATTAAATATTTCCAAAACTGGTTAAGTAAGTGCAGATAATAGGCATGCCAATATAGGGTAAAGATGTGCAAAATCCATAAAAGCCTAAGACTAACGACAAAAAAAAAAAAAACCCTAAGGGAGTAGTGGATTAGGATACAAGGAAGAACATGGCTAATGCACACCTACACAGACATGCAGTAGCGTGAAATCCGCTCACCCTCAATGTTGCTCCACTGCTGCAGAGTAATTATGCGCTGCCTGCATTTTTGCTGTTTGCATTGTCTCCTGGGACAGTTGGCCTGATATGGATCTGTTGTAGTCATTAGATACAGAAGCATTCTGCAAAATTCCTGCCTGTTTGTTTGCCTCTATCATTTGAATGGGGGAGGGGGTTGATTTATTTCCCATTCACCCTCCATGTTATAAGAAAGAAATCCTATTTCTGCACACTTACAATGGTACAATGCTTTACAAAAGTGGCCATACACTTTTAAATGTTTCATTTTGTTATATTAAAAACTTCATTGATTTCTCATTGGGAAATAAATAAGCAGTTCATACGATTAAAGTTGATAGAATATGATACATAGTTTTCAAAAGAAAAGCATACCTTCAGAATAATTCTGAGACCACCAATGTAAGTTTCCTGCCAGTAGGTTTTGTTGCATGCAAGTTCAATTTTGTTTTTGTCAGACCAAAACTTTCTCTTTAACTCATATGTTTTTTCCAGGCAACATCAAACTTCAAAACTTTCTTATGGCTGCTGTTCAATAGTGGCACTCCTCTTGCCGCTCCTCTATTAATGGTAGATCTGCATTCTGCCAAGCTAATGACTATCTTGCCACTTATTTTTCCACCTAAATTGATCTCTGAAGCTTCTCCAGAGTTACCATGAGCCCCTTTGGGCACTATATAGTTTTCCTTATCCAGCCTGCAAATCGAAGTGAATAATAGAACTGACAGTTTGAGTGTAGCATTTTTGCTATGGTATTTCTATTTTCTCATCGTAGTTTAGCCAGGGCTTTGTAAAATGTTGCAAACTTCATTTATTATTTTAAAACTTAATAATTCTCTAAACTTTTCCATAACTACATCCATGGTCTTTTTGGTGTGTTTTGCATGAATTCAGGATGCAATGTTATGATATTATTCAGAAGCATTGGATTACAAATGACAACAAATGGAAACACTAGAATTTTAGATCTGTATTTCCAAAAATGTAATTATGGTAAAATTTCCTTTTACTTAACAATTTACGATTATTCCCTTTCAGTTGGTCTGAAAGCACAGATAGGTTACAATGGGGAAACTATAATTGAATCCATTGAAAGATGTTAGTGATTTCAGACCCTGACAACAGAATGAACTCCTTAACCACAAGCCTCCCCTGTTAAAGGATAATGAATTAATCTGTCCTCATGTTGGACTACACTGAGATCTGGCTGCTCTCTGCTGTGTCAGTTAACATCAAAGTAGATAAACATTGGCAGATCAAACACTCTGCTTTCATTAAAAATGTAGCACTATTCCAGGAGTTCTCATACATTTGGCCTAAGAGGTGTGTAGGATATCACACTGTGGAGAAGCAAACATGGGCTGTGTGTTTAAGTTCTCTTGATGTTTACTTTTTCATTTCTAAATCTATTTATAGTACATGCAGAAAGCAAGCTATCGAATATGCATTATATAATTATCCAGGTGTAAGAAAAGAAAAACATGAGGAACCTATTCCTTCGTGTAACAGCTATACATGCAGAAGAATAGAAAATAATGTATTTGACAGTATCTTTCAAGCCAGTGTCAGACCTGCAGACTGTCTTTCCTCTAACCTCCAAAACAGCCATCACAACGCGCTTCATATTACCACCTCTGCCGAGAAACTGGGGAGGAATCCAATCATAATTACATAGTTGTGATGGAAATGTGAAAAGGAGAGATGACATTATAGATCTGTTTTCTGACAGCACCTAACACTTGCGTCGTCTTTCTATCTGCTGCCATGGATTCCGGTAATGACTGGCTGTGCAAAAATAGATAAAGGAAGATGAGGAATATAAGACTGTGATTTGAAATTAATGTTTGATCATTTCCAAGAGTCTCTGGAGAGAAATCCTAAAGATGCACCTGTCTCCATAGAGGACGCAGTTTTCATGTTATCATAAATCATTTCTTGGATATCTCATCAAACAAACCATACATATGGGAAGAGTCATAATGAGAACAAACTCAGATATCACATCTACTTAGATAACAGTAGCGATGCATATTTGAAACGATTAAAATACCTTTACTTGTGTTGCAATAAAATGACCCAAATTTCAATCAACTTTTACTTTTTAAGGAAGCAGGATGCTTTCCATAAGACGCGTTTTATTATAAATATTATAGCTTAAAACACAAACAATGCTGATTTCAATGGTAAGATGTCAGACTGAACCTTGATGTTGTTCTGAGTTCAGGGTTTTAAAATAGAAAAATACAGTTATGAACAATTCTTTTCTACCCGTGTCAAAGAAAAAAATACTGTGTCTTATTCCATGGCTTCTAGGGTTCATTATAGCAATTTGAGAAACTCAGAGAAGTTAGAATTACTTTCGGATATTTGCCATCACATGGGTGCTGGTAAGTAAAAATTGTGCTTGTAGAAAAGAGTTTCTCATATTTCAGTAAATTGATGGAAGTTAAACTTATTCTAGCTTAGCTATAGGTAATAGCAGTATAAGACAGAACTATTGTTCAATAGAGGATGTTACCAGTGATGTCAAAAGTACACATATTTGTTGCTTAAGTAGAAGTATAGATACTGCAGTTTAAAAAACACTCTGATAAAAGTTGAAGTCTCAACTTGACCTTCCTACTCAAGTAAAAGGTAAAAAGTATATGCTCCAAAAACTACTTAAAGTATAAAAGTACAAAGTAACCCTTATAAAAAACAAAAAAAACATGCCACTATATAAATTGAAAGCTAAATTTTTCGACTATTTAGAAAAATTCTTTGATATACGGCCAAGAATGAGGGAGGTGTTGTTGGTCTCCATCTCCTGATACGCTCTCGCCCGTGTCCGACCTTTCA